TTTCCCTGGAAAAGCTGGCTGTGAACATACAAATATATACTACTTAGCAACTACGCAATTGGTTGTGTACTTTCTCAAGGTCCAATTGGGAAGGACCTACCCATTGCTTATGCATCCAGAACATTAAATAAAGCTGAAATAAACTATAATACTACTGAAAAGGAATTAGAGAGCATAGTATGGGGAGTTAAAACTTTTCGACCGTACCTTTTTGGTCAACAGTTTAATATTATAACGGACCATCGATTGGTCCGTGTGGCATTGGTGTGGCTGTTTAAACTAAAGGACCCCGGTTCACGGCTAACGCGGTGGCGTTTAAAATTGGAAGAACACCAATACACCATTCATTACAAACCTGGCACTAATAACACAAATGCAGATGCTTTAAGTCGGATAAATCAAGTCGTCACCAGATCATCAAAGGCCGCAGAGAACTCAAAATATCCAGACAATGCAGAACCATCAAAAACTTCAGAACCTCAGAACGATCACAGCTCTCATCAAGCTAGTTCTTCTATAGACATACAAATCACCGAAAATTATCAGGAATTTCTGCAAGCAGATTCAAGTCTTAAGAAACCAACTAAAAAAATTAGCGAAGTATCAGGAAATATATTTGAAATGGATCCTAGCATTTCCCTGGCATGTTGCGTTTCGGCGGATTTCGAGATGACACACGGAGTAGCTGTACAAATGAGAAGAAAATTTGGCAACCTGACACAGTTACGTAGACTACAGAAAAAGGTTACCGAGGTAGCATCACTAGAGATAACAGACAGAAACATATTCTACCTCATTACTAAAGAAAAGTTCTGGCAAAAACCGACCTGCGAAGATATTTTTCAGAGCCTACAGAATCTCAAGAAAATTTGCCACGAGCGGAAAGTAACTCGACTCGCTTGTCCGCGTTTAGCGATAGATCGAGACGGTATCAAATGGAAGACCGTCCGGAGCATGCTCTACTACACGTTCCGAAATTCGGAATTAGAAATAAAAATCGTAACACAAGAACAGTTATCGAAAGAAGACCAGTTACGAATCATTAGAGAATTCCACGAGACTCCTTTGGGGGGACATCAAGGAATAAATCGGACATATCAAAGAATATTGCAGCAACATCATTGGAAGGGAATGAGACAGATGATCAAAGCATATATCCTTTCCTGTGAAATTTGAAAACGTCAGAAAATACCAAATCGATCAGTAAAAGAACCGATGGTTATAACCACAACCTCTTCCAGACCCTTTGAGAAAATCTGCATGGATATTGTAGGACCATTTCCTAAGTCTCATAAAGGGAATATATTCATCTTAACTCTTCAAGATGACCTTTCTAAATTCGCATGGGCAGTACCTATGATAAACTATGAATCAAACACTGTAGCATACCATTTTGTAACCCAATTTGTGTGCTTACATGGACTTCCGAAGAGTCTTGTCACACACTGTGGTACGGAATTCCTTAGTCATGTATTCAAAGAAGTATGGAAACTTCTTAAGATCAAACAAACTTCGACCACACCATACCATCCACAAAGTAATTTGTCTTTAGAGCGTAGCCACAGAACATTAGGAGACTACTTACGCAGTTTCGTTGACAAAGATCCTCAAAGCTGGGACACTTATGTTCCATTCGCGATGTTTTGTCATAATTCAACAGTACATACTGCAACCAAATTTCAACCATATCAACTAGTTTATGGTAATGAGATAACCGTTCCGCATTCATTCACTCGAGATCCTGAACCTCAATACAACTATGAGGACTATTACTTTGAGATGAAGAAACAAATGCAGGAAGCTCATAAATTAGCGAGAGCAGAGCTATTAGAAAGCAAACACAAATCTAAAGAGCGTTATGACAAATCAATAGCACCTCTAAACCTTGCCGAAGGAGATAGAGTCCTAATACAAGACAAAGCCTGTAAGGGAAAACTAGCTCCAAAATGGTTAGGTCCTTACCCCATCGTAGAAATACAACCAGATTCACCAAATGTCACGATACTTAAGAAAACCAAACCTGTAAAGGTACACCGGAACCTTCTAAAACAATTTCATGAAAGAACATAACTATGTTTCAGACTCAGCATAATTTCAATAAGCGTCACGGAACCTTCCATCAATGATTCGGACCAAAGAAATCACCACCAAGTATTTAATCTAACGTCATTCAAGAACCAACAAGGGATCTATTATGAGTCACATGGAGTAGCCAGATTGTCACATGTGAGTTGGGAATTGGTAATCTCCTTGGATGTACAATTACTAATTTCAAAATACCATGTCATCATGGCTCACTCTCAAGCAACCACGACCATTTGTGAAAATATGAAGAACAGACTTGGCAATGTGGAAATTGAGGAGATTTGCTCTCTGTTTATACAACAATTTTCTAGAGCAAATTTGCCCTATTTAAACGAGATCGAAGCTAATCACAGAAGTCTTATGTTAGCCATTAATAATGATGATAATAGAGTTCGACGGGGATTGGGGCAAACATTCAGGCGTATGGCCAACGTTCTGTATGGTGTATGCTCAAAGATTGATGTTAAATTCATTATAAATCAAATGACAGAACTAAATCAAAGCAAAGTACCTAGTAAAAGCAATATTCCGGAAAAGATCAGATTCCTACAAGCAGAAGTAAATCACTCTACACAACAATTAGAACTTCAACAACAAAAAGTAGAACAAAACCTCCAGTACCTACAAGCACAAACAAATCTTACTATCCAAAACCTTAATAAATTGGCGTTCCGAACCAAAGTATTAGAACAAGCATTACTATTTGAACTAGTATTAAATAAGTACGCTTATGAAACCCAGAACCTTATCTCCATAATAAATACAGCATTAGATGGAAAATTCACACTAGTGTCTTTACTCCACAGCACATTATTAAAGAACTTCTCGAAATTAAGGTGATTGGAAATACTTTTCCATTGGAAGTTAATATAGAATCTCTTAATGAAATCCTCCGAATCTCTGAAAAAAACATATTCTTTAAAGACAACTATCTTATCTATGTCATAGAAATCTCACTAATTACCAGTGATCAATATAGTATATACCACCCTATACCTTTACCCATACCCCACAGTGAACAAACCATTTTCTTAGTCGACCCTGAAATAGATTATTTAGGTGTAAGCAGAGACAACGAAAATTTTATTGCTTTAGATAACGTAAAGTTGGAAGAATGTATAACATTAAAGCTCTATAAAGTTTGTAGAGGTAATCAACATGTACAGCATTGTGCAGAATCAGATGTATGTGTAGTTTCATTACTAGTGAATAATCAATTTAATCCAGACCATTGCAAATTCAAATTCGTTCCATTAAAAGCCCCTATATGGCATCAGTTAGTTCAAACTAATTCATGGATCTATTATACCCAACGGGAAGTAGGTACCATCACTTGCACAAATCCATATTGAAAATTCCAAGATAGAAATTGAGGGCGTAGGCAGAATAACTATACCCCCATTTTGTAAAATTAATCTCAGAAACTCTATATTATTTTCTAATAACAAAGCTAGTAGGGATATTCATTCAGATATTATACCAGAAAATTCTAAGAATGAACCGTTACACACATTGGCAGATATAGTCAAAACAATTATTCCTCAAAACCTCACTAATAAAATCCTAATTCAAAATTTGAACCAACTGACTAATAAAGCAGTTGTGTTAAATGAACTTTCACATACCCTAGCTGAACCTTCGTTAATTTTCAACATTAACATTCACGTTATTGTCATTTATATTATTGTAATACTAACAATATTAACAACTAGTATATTAAGTTTTAGTTTAAGAAAAAATGTTAAAAAAATATACAACCCTGAAATACCAGAAGCATGAAAAATCTAATGGTATTTAGGAAGACACAGAGTGTAATTTATTTTTCTTTTATTATTTTTCTTTTAATAATTTTATTGTCAAACTGAACTGACCCCCAAATAACAGAAAATTCGAAATCTTGCAGAAACTTAAATATTTAAGTGAAACACTGTGGTCATTGGACCCCCGTGTCTCATTTAGTCTGGGGGGTGTTAAGAACCCCTGATTAGTACATATTTTATTTTTTATATATCTATATATGTTAACAACATATTTAGACAATCATAATGCAGAGTGTGTGTCGTAAGACGCTGCTACCGTGGGAACCGCTGAATAAGGGTTTTTTATGTGAGACGGGGCACCGTCACGACAACACACAGGGAGTCAGTCAGTCGTAGAATTACCAGTGTTCGATTAACAGTTTGTAGCTACACTTAAGATTTTTTACTACCAATTTTAATAAAAATACATTAATTATTTTAATCTTCAATTGGTGCGTACGTTTATTTTGTGTTGTGCGTAAAATCCATAGCAAGATAAACACAAGTTCTTATCGCCCGGAGGCAAATTTAGCCCTGGAGAAAGCGCATAGACTACCTTAGACATTATGTGGATAAGAAATTAAACAATTGGGATGAGTATTTACCCTACGCATTTTTCGTATATAATACTACAGAACACACATCAACGGGTTATCAACCATACTCTCTACTATACGGTAAACATTTAGATATACCAATTAAGTTATCTCAGGAACCTGAACCTAGATACAATTATGACAATAACTATTTTGATTTGAAACAAAAAATGCAGGAATCTCATAAAATAGCAAGAGAAAGGTTAATAAAATGTAAAATAAAGTCCAAGGACAACTACGATAGCAATAAAAACCCTATAGAAATACACGTGAAAGACCAAATTTTATTAAGGGAACGCGCGCAAAAGAATAAACTAAATCTATTATGGACAGGCCCCTATGAAGTAACCGATGTATTAGACAAAGAAAATATAGTAATAATGCGCGGGAAAAGACACGTCACGGTGCATAAAAACCACGTAAAAAAATTCCACGAGAATCTAAGTTAAAAAAAAAAAAAAAAAAAAAAATGAATAAAGTACGAATATATAATTAATTAATAAGAAAACTTTTTAGGATCATGATGACGATCGTCATGCTCCAAGTTGCATTGGCACAACCAAAGCCGTATCAAACTTCGAAACTGTCCCAAGAAAATGGGATGTACTTTGATAATCAGGGACCACTTCGATTAACAAATTCTGATTGGAAATTGATAATATATGTTAAATTAGATAACTTTAATCGACGTACTAAGGGAACTATGTATTTTTACGATAAAACTATAAAATTATGTGACGATTTAACAATAGTATACGAAGGCATGTTTAAAACACTTTGTGAAAATTTTAAGATTGCGTCCATCAGCCTTGAACAGGAAGTGACGAGGAAACGAGTTTATATGTTACAATCTATAGATGAAACAGATACAATTACTCGGGTAAGAAGGGATTTAGTAAATTTAGTAGGTCGAATACAAAAAACATTATTCGGTACATTAGACGATACTGACGCAGAAACATATGATAAACAAATCGAGGAATTACAAACTAGTCGAAATAATTTATTAAAAATAGTAGAAAAACAAACTAGCATATTGAAAGCAACCGAAAATACATTTAAGGAGGCAACCCAAATGGAAGGTCAGATAAATAAACTTAGCACATTATACAATCGAATGACAACAACAGTAAATCAAACCATAATCAATTTAGATATCGTAGAAGCAAAAAGTAATATTAACGAACAAATAAATATATTAAATTTAATATTTCAACAGTTAAGTTACGAAACCGACACAATTTGCGAAGTAATAATAGCCGCACAAGGTGGTATAATACATTCAAGCATAATATCCGCTATGGAATTACGTAAGCAATTAAAAGATATTTCAATGAACGTTCCAAAAGGACAAAGCTTACCGTTCGATTTAAATCAAATATCGCTATATGAACTAAGCAAAATGTCAAAATTAAATATAATTTACATAAACGAAACATTAATATTCGAAATAATAATACCACTAATAAACTCAGTTGATTTAACATTATTCCACGTAATACCACTACCAGTAGTAAAAAATGATCATTATATGCACATAATGCCTGAATATGGGTACATAGCCATTTCAAAAACGCATGAATATTATTTAACATTATCATTTAGCCAGCTACTGATGTGTAGACAAATTAATATGGGAACATTATGTCCGGAAACACAACCATTAAGACTAGGAGCCAGCGAGCTGCCATGTCAATTACTCTTAATTTCATGTTCAAAATTATGTTCCAATATTAAACACGTACCTTTCCTATTACTAAATAATATAATAATTAATAACCAATCGATGTTAGTATCTTGTCTTGTTCCAGATAAGACAATCACACGGAAAATCCAGATTACTGTTATTATACAACGCGTAAAAGACGTATAAAATACATAACAAAAATGCCAGCACTGGAATTCATTCCTAGACGGGTATTATACCTAATGATGTTAGAATATTCGTTGAGGTACAACGATCACGTATACCAGTACACGATAAACAGTGATGGACCTACGTGTCTAAAAAACCATATGAGAATAGCCAATGAACATTATACCTTATACTACAGCGGAAATGCATAGAATTATGGAAATAATTACTATGACTCTCCGATTAACAATTTTAGTACGCGAAATACACGCACCCACATGTCTGAATTTGGCAAATTTAATAATCGAATTAATACAAGCCGCCGAGGCAGCTGAATAAAACTAACATAAGGGATTACATTTTAATAGATAGTAATACTAATATTTCGCAATGTAAAAATATTATCTAAATAAAGTTGTCTCACATTTAATCATTATATATATTTTACAGTGACAACATCAAATTCATAATAGTGGACTTTGAGTTCACTAGTATAAATAAGACGGATCTATTACTTATATCGGGGTCATTATCAAACAGTCTCGACAAATATAGGCCAGTTAAACTCGAGGGCAAACCAATCGTGTTAACTATCACCAATAAATTAAATATGTTACAGCATCGCGAAATCAAGCAGGTAATGCGTAGTGTTGGAAGGATATTTAGGAACAAGCCAGGGAAGTTAATACCTTTATTGGGGCAGTTAGAATCAAGTCTAAAGCTCGAGGGGGCGACAACTCTGTCTACCATATATCTCAACCAATACTTGCATACCGACGGAAGAACACCAATCATTGTTTTTTTCAACGGGACAACCGACAAAAATATAATAAACCGATTACAATTAAATATAAAGAAAATGTTGGATATCACTTCATATAGTGATAACGACAATAATTATTTTAATTTAAAACTTCTAGATGTAACAGGATCTACCAAAAAATTAATATATTCAACTAAAATAGGTTACTACCAGAAAAACGGAAGAATGCTGAATCTAATGGAAACCCATGATTTAATATGCAAAATAAACCACGATATAACCCATAGCCACGACCCAGTAGCGGATGTAATTATCACCAAATGTTTGTTTAACTATATTATCAGGGATATGGGACCAATACAGTTATACAAACTATGTAAAACAGATAGGTATACAATAAAATAATCATAGTAATCAAAGAGTGTCAATTCAATAGTGTAGACTATACCTATAACTGGGAATCAGGGGGCTGATAAGATTCTACACAATTGAATGGACATACTCTAGGTAAACAAATTAACTTTCTTTTCTTTTTTTTATTATATATATATATATAGGCAACATATATAAGACCAATAGATTACAGGATGAATATATAAATATGTAATAATAATAATGTGAAATTTTATAAATTATAATAGATTAAGTATTTAACCACAAATGTACAGCCACCATGTACTAACACTAGAATAAGGAGAAAATGTAAAACAAAAGACAAAATATAAAAAAAAAAAAATGTGTATTAGTATCTAACAATTATTATATACTTAAACCAATGTATCAATAATTCATAATCGAAGTACTAATATTTTATGTATCAATGTATGACTATCTTATAAGTTATTATAACCAATGTAAAACTATTGTATCACTAATGTATAACTATTGTAATAATTATATACCATAAAATGTTAAAGATTTATGTTTAAGCTTTTAAACATAAAGTCTTTTTTTTAGAAGGGAGGTGTTACGTACCTATCAATATATTAACTATGTACAATGTAAAGCACGTTTCTAGTAGTATTGACGATATAGCTAATAAGGCAATTAGTATATTATAACATGCTTAGATCATTGCAAAAACATAGTATAAAACAATTAAGCTATACAAGCGTCGTCACACGTATCTCCTCGGGAAAGCTAAACACCCATACGGAGGATACGAATCGACCAGCATACCAAGTACGAGACCAGGACTCTGTCTCATGACCGAATTTTGCCACTACTATGACCACCCACTCCAAAGGACTCGATCACATATATATACCAGCCCAGGACAAGAGCTCGTCAGACGGTTAGGGATACCCAAGACACTTGGAGGCAGGTCGTAAAACCACTCACAGTCTTAGTATCAATTTGGAGGCAGGTCGTAACACCACTCAAAATCTTAGTAACAATTCAGAGTCAGGTCGTAACACCGCTCACCTCTCTACTTAAGCTTTATACATTGTAATTTTGTACTTAAATAAATACTGATAATAACCTATTGCATCAAGTATTCATTTCCACGTTGATGTATATATCGACGTCAGTTGGGACGTAACATATTTTAATCATAATACATAATTGTCATTAGAAATATTTACCGATTACGCAGGTGACGTTCAGACACGACGTTCAACGTCAGGATTTCTATTCAGATACGGGTCAAGCATAATTTCATGGACATCGCAGAGACAACATTGTGTGTCATTGTCATCGACAGAGGCTGAATATATTTCGGCCAGTGAAGCTGTCAAGGGGATCTTGTGGATTACACGGTTGATAACAAGCTTATCAACAACGGGTGACAAACAACCAGTATTATTTATAGATAATCAGAGTGCTATTCGTTTAGTTAAAAATCCGGAGTTTCATAAGCGGACAAAACATATAGACGTACGGTACCACTTCATACTGGAGAAATACGAAGAGGGACAATTCCAACTACAGTACATTGGAACAGAGGACCAGATTGCAGACATTCTAACCAAGCCTTTGGTTAAGGAACGATTCGAGAAGTTGCGGTCAGCCATAGGAGTGACTACAATTAAAGATATTATTAATTGAGGGAGGGTGTTGAAATATACAATTAATATGTATTATATGTAGTCAGCCTTGACACGTGTGTAAAATTTAGTAACTAGTTATATACGAGCATAAAACTCACTCTCTTCACGGATGTAACATGACCTCGGTCGTGCATATATATATTGCCTTTGATGTATGTAATACTCACTTGCACAGACGCTGTCATACCGAGTGTACGCGGTGTGTGTGTATAGTCACAGTTTAGTTGTCCAGTTGTACGTTATTATATATTATACTTATACATAATCATATTGTCGTGTTATTACTTATTATATTAATGCTAAAATCACTAGTACGTCAATCTTCACTTTCATCATAGTTGAACCAAAAAAACCAGACATCAATGGAAAAGTCAAGTACTGAGTCTGCGTAGACTTCCAGAAATTGAATCAAGTGACAGTGGGATATGCTTTTTTGCTGCCAACATCACGGACATTTTTTATCAGTTTGGAAAATCAAAGTATTATACGACTCTTGATTTAGCCCAGGGGTACCATCAGGTACCTATGAATCCTGCAGATATAGAGAAAACGGCCTTTTTGATCGACAAAGGCCATTACGAATTCTCACGCATGCCATTCGGACTGAAAGGTGCCCCCGGAACTTTCCAACGATTGATGAACCGAGTAATCATAGGATTAAACGGATCTAAAGCGTTTGTTTACCTCGACGACATAATGGTGTACTCTAAAGATCTCGCTGACCATTCACAAAAACTCGCTGAAATTTTCAATAGGCTTAGAAAATACATTTAACACTTCAACTGCTAAAATGCGAATTCCTCAGAAAGGAAGTAACGTATCTAGGACATCGAATTACGGACGAAGGAGTAAAACCAGACCCTCAAAAGGTGGAATGCGTTCAAATATGTAATGTTCCACAAAACGTTAAAGAGATTAAGTCTTTTCTTGGGTTGTCCGGATACTACCGACGATTCATCCAAAACTATGGCCAAATCACAAAGCCTTTAACATCATTACTCAAGAAGGATGTCCCGTATGGGTGGAGTGATTTGTGCCAGCAATCGTTTGAAACATTAAAAAATTGTTTAATTCAGTCTCCGATACTCCAGCACCCGGATTTCACAAAACCTTTTAACCTCACATGCAATGCCAGTAACTATGCTATAGACTGTGTACTTTCCCAAGGACCTGTAAGTAAGGACCAAGAAACCTAAACAAAGCTGAAATAAATTACAACACCACTGAAAAAGAACTTTCAAGTATAGTATGGGGCATTAAGGTATTTCAACCATATCTTTTAGGACAACAATTTAATAACAGATCATCGCGCATTAGTATGGCTCTTCAATCTAAAGGATCTTGGTTCTAGAATCACCCGTTGGCGACTAAAACTAGAGGAATATCAACATACAATCCAATACAAGCCGGGAGCAAGTAATACTAATGCCGAGGCTCTTAGTCGAATTCATAGAGTTGTCACTAGGTCAAAACAGAACACTGACTCAACTGACTCTATTCAAGAAACAGGAAAACAAGTAATACCTTCGGAAGACCCTCAACAATTTTCAGAAACTCGACCAGAATATCCAGAGTATTCAGAGGATTCACACTCACAGGAAACATATGAGTATGAAAGATTCTTAACAGCTAACTCTAACCAAAAAACTAGTCCAAATGTTCTTGAGATCTCAGGAAACATTTTTGACGAAGAGTTAAATTCATCTCTAGCAGTATGTGTATCAGCAGATTTCAAGATGGCACAAGGAATAGAGTTAGCCATACGAAGACAATTTGGGAATATTGCCCGACTCGTAGTCTGAACAGATCCCTTACGGAAATTGCCTCATTAGACACAGGAAAAATAACAGTATTTTATCTTTTCTCAAAAGAACATTACTGGCAAAAGCCTACTTACAAAAATGTATTTCAAAGCCTCATAAACCTCAAGAATACATGCACAGAACGAGAAATCACTCATCTGGCATACCCACGTTTAGAGTGGGGTCCAATAGTATTAAAATGGGAAACTTTTCGTTCCATGATATTCCAGAACTCTTTTATAACTATAAAGGTGATGACAAAAGAGGAGCCGACACAAGAAGAACAACTGTAAATACTAAAAGAATTCCACGAAAATCCTATGGGCGGACACCAAGGCATTACCCGTACTTATCGACGAATATCTCAAAAATGTCAGTGGAAAGGGATGAGTCAGATGATCA